TATCAAAGAAAAACCATGCCAACAAATTTATTTTGTAATTTTTGGACTTATAATTTATTTACTACAATATTAACAATTGTTAGCCTATTTATAAAAGATATAAAAGAAAATTAGTAGTATACAAATTTAGGCAGGAAATGAAATTATGGCCCACCTTTATTCTCGGGTGGTAGATCCACCTGGGACTAAAGGTGGGCTCCAATTTTGGGGCCCACCAAAAAATGTTTGTTGGAGTCACCAACATAGAGTATAGGGTCTTTAGTCTTGATTGGTTGCTCCAACCGAGATTAAAGGTGCCACTAACCGGGACTAAAAGATATTTAGTGGTCGTGGTTTTAATCGGGACTAAAGGTCTCTACCTTATATATAGGGCCAACCTTCTCTCTTCTCCTCCCCTTCACTGTCCTAGATTATCCCGGTTGGAGTCACCAACATAGAGTAAAGGGTCTTTAGTCATGATTGGTTGCTCCAACCGAGACTAAATGTGCCACCAACCGGGACTAAAGGACATTTAGTCATAGGTCATGTCTTCAACCGGGACTAAAGCTCTCTACCTTATGTACAGGGCTAGCCTTCTCTCTTCTCCTCCCCTTCACTGTCTTGGATCGATCGATCTGCTCCGAACCACTGCCGGCGCGCCTATTTGATCATCGTCTGCGTGCCACCGTTCGCCATTGTCCCCACCACGACCGTCCATGTCGCTGCCCCATGCCCCCCCTACGCCTAACCAAGCTTCTCCAACACGCGCCACGCCATCCACGCGCGCCTCACTGGCCCTATCATCGTCGGCTCCTCTCTGGTCCCGTAGTGGATCGACACCTCATCGTCCCAAGCTATGCCACCACGGTACGTCGATCCCGGCAGGACCTAGCTCGTGTCCATCGTGTGCACCCACTCATTTTCACCGTCGTCATTGTCTTCCCGTAAACCCACAGGCATGAACACTACTTAGACTAGTGTATATATAGCTAAGCTCCTGCTGCTGGTGATTTTTTTATTTTTAACACTTTTTGTAAACTAATTTTAAATCTAACACTATTTTTCCCAAAACTAATACTTTTGGCCGCGCCTATTTCCCTGGTGTGGTGAAACGTCTGTGCCGCGCCATGCATGGTGGTGCAGCGAGGGATGACGTGGCGACGACCGAGGCGCTGACCGGTGACGTGTCAGGTTCTGCTGCGCCACCGATCTTAGCGCCGTAGTGCGCGCCATCCCTCTATCTGCTTGCCCGTCGCCGCGCCTACCCGCCGCCGCCGCCCACCGCGTTTGCGCTGCCGCCGCACGTTTGACACACGCCTCCCGCCGCCGTGGCCGCCGCCGCCCGCGCGTTTGCCGCGCGCTTACGCACGCCGGCGCGCTTACTCCCGCCGCACCGCCGCCAGGTTATGAACGCGGCGCGTCGCGTCACGCCGCCGCGCGCGCTTGCCGCCGCCCGCCAGACGCCACCGCGATGACGACACCCAGAACCATACCGCGACTCTACATCCGACGATAGTGTGCCTGCATCCGGCGGTGAAGGTCATCGTGGCCCTAGGTGCATCTTCAAGCGAGTAAGATTGGTTAAAGTCCTAATTAAGTGCTAATTTTGGTTTAAGTGTTGCTATAATTAGGTTAATGTCGGCATGAAATTTTGTCCCATGCCGAGGTCACACGAGCAAGCCGAAAGGGTCTGCTCGATGGTGCTGTAGATCCGCCTAGCTTCAGCGTAGGAATGGTCGATCCTACGCACTCCTCCCGAGACGTGCAAGTCAATTTGACCCTACAATTGACAAGAAGAGAAAGTTTATCAGTAATTTCGGACGGAACATGTCGGTGTTGCTAGGCATTCTTGAATGTGCGGCTCTGAGAGCCGATATGAAAGGAGATCGACTAAATAGTCGATTTCAGCATATTCATAAAAATAAATCGGTTAAAGCTCATGGGGTTGTGTAAGAAGAATCGATTATTGTTCAGGATGAATATCATTATTTAGGCAAATATTTGTCAATGGCAATAAGATGTCAACAATAATTAGTTTATGCTAAGCCAATGACTGCGAGTAACCGAACCCCTTTTTGTATAAATGAAACAGCTCATCATCATTTAACCATTTAAGAAAGATAAATCTAATGAACATATTAGATCTCATCTATCGCTATGACCAAACATATCTTTCAACCTATCTCTACTTAAACAATCTCATGACGTGAACTATTCGTGAAGGCACTCGATATAGGCTAAAATAGCCGATTCAGGCATAGCGCATAGTTAAGGTCATGTTCTCTTAGGAACAGATCTACCAAGTAACGATCCTCACTCCACGGTGCTAACAGTGGGGTATGAGGTAGAATCACACAGACCGTGATAACGGGTCATGAAACGGTTTTCGCTAGTCAATAGATCTACTTAGGATCAGACACGCCTTAACCGCACGCTGTGCACGATTAAGATTGATATAAAACAGCCGATAAAACATAACTCATCGTTTAAAGTGCAGATTAGATAAAATTTAGATTAACAAACGATGGGTTAAAAAGGATATAAGGCCGATCTAGATCAATCCCAATCGGGTTGAAGTGATATTGCTGTAATTAAATAAATAATGGAAGTAATAAGCAATATCGGTAACTTAATAAATCTATCCGAAGGAACGCCACCCTTAGATAGAGCCGATAACTTGACCTTAATCTAGTTCAAGTAGTGGAGGTCGACCGGATCGATGCAGCCGTACAAACAGAGGTATAAGTCCGGACGGTACTTACAGACAAGCAATAGAGGTCGACCGGATCGATGCAGCCGTACTCGCTAAAGAACTTATCGAGATCTACTCTACTCCTAATTCTAAGGGGTGGCTGGAGCCAAAAAAAGTAAATGACTTGTATTGGATTGATTGTGTTTTTTTCCAATAGCCGGGCTTTGGTATTTATATCCGGGACCTGCGCATGACTCCTATCTAAGCACGACTCATCACAATCTTTGACCCTAGAGAAAATATTCCTAATTTAAGATAACTTGGAGTCTAATCTTTCTCTTTTTATAGAGTTCAACATGTCTCGTCCGGCACCAATCGTAGCATTTGTCGTTATCTGCTGGCGCTATCTAAAAAAAGCCGATTCCAGTTTTGCATTCGAATCAGCCAATACCGACCTGCACGCGATTGATTCCTTGATGACATGATCTTGAGAGCTTTTAAGTCCCTGCGATCATTTTTCTAAATTTTGGTGTAAACAGTTAATTAAGATCTTGTCTAAGTATAAGTTCTAACAATTGGTATATGAGAAGCCGCTTAGCCTAATTCTTGAACCCTAAGACCTAATTAGTGTTTGGTTAAGATCTAAATAGCCTCGGATTTGTCCGATTCAAAGTTCTTTACGCCAAATCAAAATATAGGGTTTCGCTTAAGCACCGAGAAGGAGGGGAGTCAAATCAACTTCAACACTAAGCCCCAGTTTTTGCCAAAATCCAAACCCTAGGAATGCAAATTACCCAAATCCGGTAACAATCCCCAACCCTAAGATCAGTAAGACGCTTTTCACTTACCTTAAGAACTAAGAAGGCGCCGTCGGGCTCCTTCACGAGTTCGTCGGCGGTCACAAAAGGGAGCCACGCCGCCGTCCTGCTATGTGTGCGCGTGGTCTCTGCCCCAAAGCGAGCAGATCACCGCTGGGGCATCAAGAACGCCAGCGCGCCACAGCCGCCGCACGCCCGCTGTGCCTGCCGCGCCCGCACGTCGGCGCGCCACCCCCTCCGGCCACCCGCCACGCCCTCTGGCCACGCACGGCGGCTGTCCGCCGTGCCACGGACGCCCGCAGGCATAGAAGACGAGGGCAGCAGGTCCATACATAGAAGTTGCTTATAATGGTGCAATCGAAATTTATTTTGGAGTGTTGGTTTGAATTCTAGCACGGCTGTATGCATGAGTGATAGCTAGGTGCCGCTCCTAGTCAGTTTTGTGTAGAACTATATATTATGAAGTGACCCATTAATTATAAAGCATTCAGCCCACCGCATTCGGCCCACGACCGTTAATCCAATCAACAACCGCGAGAAAATTAATCTGCCGACGCGTTATCCGATCGACCGGCCGTCGCATAGTGTAGCCCCTATAGCAGCCCCGGGTGACGCCACACGCCAATCACAGGCCAATTGTTTCAAAAAGGAACATAATAAGTGATGGGTGGGGTGACGCCACCTTGACAGCAGCCTACTAACAGGCATCAACACTACTATAGTACTTATACTAGTGTAAAATTATCGGCATGACGGGAGGGGTGACGCTACCTGGACATGAGCCCACAGGCATGAACACTACTTAGACTAGTGTATATATAGCTAAGCTCCTGGTGCTGGTGGCGCATCAATACATTCACAAATCACAACTCTGGTCTCTCCACAAACTCTCTTAACATTGCTTTAGAAAAAAACACACTGATTCGCACAACATCATCTCTCCGAGCATACATGGAAGGAAACGTATGCGGGCAATATGAAAAAGAGTGAGCATTTTGGCATCTCTGTTTTCTTCTAAAATATATATATGCTCCCATTTAGAAAAATAGTTGTATAAGCAATTTATATTCCAATGCAAAAGTATATATGATAAATTTATTCATAGATATTCATTTGATGTGTATCCTAAAGCATTGAGGATTCTTTTCTTTTAGGGTTGCCGTTGTTACAGGAGGGAATAGAGGAATTGGATTAGAAATATGCAGGCAACTTGCTTCCAAAGGAGTCACGGTAGTACTGACAGAGCGAGGGATGAGAAGAGGGGTGCAGAAGCGGTAAAAAATCTTGCAGTGCAGGGGCTATTCAACGTCCTGTTTCATCCACTGGAGGCTGGAGATCTCTCAAGGGCAGCACGTCTTGCTGAATTTATCAGGGAGCAGTATGGCAAGCTGGATATATTGGTATTGCCTCTGTTTCTTTTCCAACATCACGAGTACATGTGAAGGATGTTTCTGAATTTATCCTAAATCATATGTTGGTAGTCACTTGTTTGATACTTTGATTCTTTGCAGGTCAACAATGCAGGAATCGTCGGGACGACAACCGAGATCAGCAACCCAGAATCTTTTAAGCAAGAGGTTAGCTAGCTAGTTTGTAACTTCATAAGCATTTCAACTGTCACATCCAATTAGTTTTCTTTAGGAAGTTCTAATATATTTATCTTCTTCATATATAGCTTTCGACACTAGCTAACAACTATTTTCTGCATGTAAATAGCTTGCAGATATGGATGGCCTGGAAAAGCTTGAATGGATCAGGAAGCACACTACGGAGCCTTATGACAAAGCAAAGGAGTGCTTGATTACAAACTACCATGGCACTAAAATTGTCACAGAAGAACTTCTTCCTCTCCTACAGTTCTCATCCCATGGAAGGGTTGTAAATGTATCATCTCATTTTGGACTGCTCAGGGTAATGCCTTGAATAAATGGCAAAAAACAGATACTAGAACTTGATTTAATAGTTAGATCACACTGCTTTTAAAAATTACTAATCCTTCTACATGGCTTCAGTTTTTCAGTGGTGAGGAACTTAAAAGGGATCTCAACAACATTGATAGCCTATCAGAACAAAGATTAGATGAACTGCCAGAATTTTTCCTCAAGGACTTCAAGAATGGCCAACTAGAACCCCATGGGTGGCCGACTGAAGGAGGGTACCCTGCATATAAAGTGTCCAAGCCTCTTGCCAATGCTTATTCAAGAATCATTGCAAAGAAGCACCCAACACTATGTGTAAATTGTGTGCGTCCTGGTTATGTTAGTATAGACATTAACTTCCACACCAGAGATCTCACGGTCGAGGAGGGCGCAAGAGGAGCTCTGATTCTTGCTTTCATACCCAAGGGAGTCATGACCGGAGCATACTTGGACTGCACAGAGGTTGCATCCTTCGTGTAACTCTTATGTTGGTGATCGGTAATAGGATGGGCCCCCTCACATTTGTTTCAAACACACAAAAAGGGTTTGCCACATAACACAGTTATTGCAATATATAGTACTAACCTATCAACCTATGCTTGTACGATAGGCGATAATTGAAAGAAATGAATGTATAAGAGTATATGGCAATTTTGTAACAGAATCACCGTACAAATGGTCGACATTTAGAATGAAGACATTTTTTAATGATTGCATTCTTAGGCTGCACAAACATAATTGAAATGTTATTCTTCAAAGGTTGGAGAAACATGACTTCGTCTCCAATTAATGTGATATTTATTTAGGAAACTGCTTCGTGTACAATTACTTTGGAAAAAGTTTTCTTCGGGCTTTGTATTTAGTCATGTAATTTTTAGGTCCAGTTTTGACTCAAAAAGCTAGAACCGCATAGGCAATGAGGTAATCAAAGCCTTAAATGAAGTCCATGCTGGAGTGTGTGCTACTGTGCTACACATGAAACTAGATACAAACTACACTACTAGCTAAAACATTTTGGTTACTATTGGCCAACAATATTTGACGATTCCATGAGATTTGCAAAAAGATGCCATGACTGTCAAATACATGGTAATTTTATACATCAACCGCATTAACCTTTGCATCCAAGTCCGACCAATATGTCATGACCTTTTGAAATTTAGGGAATGAATGTAGTAGGGCCGATAAATTCTCCGTCCTCTAAGGGCCCCCAATTTATCCTTGTCATGATCGATTGCTTCTCTAAATTGGTAGAAGCCATATCACCAAAAAGAGATCAAAGTAGAAAATGTAGTTAACTTTATAAGAACCAACCTCGTATAGATGCGTTTGGGCTCAAATAATATCTAATAATGGGCTAACAACTGAGCCCCATGGTTGACATATTAGAAAATGTCATATATCTCTCTCTCTCTCTCACACACACAACACACAAAATTATAATGGTCCCAACCCATGAACCTCCACGCATTTATTTCTTCTCAGACCAAACATTATTTTAGAAGAATATATATAGAAATATTTTTGGATATTTTTCTACATTGACATACATAGGTAATTTAGATTTAAAGGTTACTTTAGTTTTTCTAATAATAGCGAGGTGGCTAATGTAGAAGCGAACTTAGAAAACTATTTTACTATTTTTCATAATGGAATATAATAATGCTAGAGACATGAGTCTTTTTAAGAAAAAATAGACTAGATAAAATGAGCAACGACTATTATTGCGGATGATGACATAGTCTATTGAACATATGTATTTTTTTAGATAATTTCTAACATCTATTTTTTTCATAGCACGCTTAGTGAGGATTGACCTAGAGTTTTTTTTTGAGTCTTCAATTAGTACTCCTATATGTTACTGTCTTTGTCTTAGAAAACTTGATGTTCCAGGATTTACAAAATCTCCTGAGAAACTTGTTGCTTTAACTCTTGACAATAGATTGGGTCAGCTTGAGATTGCGGCTGCATGCCTCTAAGCATTTCTTTCCTTAATTAATATGGTTCACCGTCAATAAATAGGGGTATATGGTAATTTCTATTAAGCACTAATCCATCCTAAAAATTCTAAAACATGGACGGAGAAAGTAATAATTTTGAGGAATCAGGAGGAGCCAGTGGCTCCTACTGTAATTAAAAATAAAAGATTAAGTAACAAAGGTACAAAAAAGCAAAAAGACAACAAGCAGCACACTCCCACTTCCATAAGGAGACTTCAGGGAACAGAGAAAGAGAAAAAGAAAATCAAGAAGATTACAAATTGGAGTTGATCCATGATTCTAAAAGCGGGGTGATCCCAATGTTTGTTCTGTGCAATAGTAAGAGTGATTCCATTGTGACAATCATTTTGCAATCTGCAACTGAGGGGTTTATGTTTCTGAAGATAACATCATTTCTCATCATCCATATGGCCCAGCAGATCAATATGAAAATGTCAAGGGCGAAATTAACATTCTGTTGGGTTTTTCATTCTTGAAAGATTTGAGGTATCGTAAGTTGATCTACATATTAAAAATTCAACATCCCCCAACAATCTCTTGCAAAAGGGCAGTAGAAAAGTAGGTGCATTATTGTTTCCTTGGAAGATTGCTGACAAAGCGCACAATGATAATCATCCAAATGCATTCTTCTTCTTAGGGCCTGTTTAGATTCTAAAAAATTTTGCGCAGTACCCATCACATCGAATCTTGCGGCATATGCATGGAGTACTAAATGTAGATGAAAAAAAACTAATTGCACAGTTGGGTGAGAAATCGCGAGATGAAACTTTTGAACCTAATTAGTCAATAATTAGACACTAATTATCAAATACAAACGAAATGCTACAATGAGCCAAAATCCAAAATTTTTTGGATCTAAACGGGGCCTTAGCATGTTCCTTGTGCTCATTCTGTTATTTAGGACAAGCCAAAAGAATACTTTGTGCTTGCTTTGACACAAAGCCATTTAAGATAGGGTCAACTTGAGAATGGCCTGTTAAAATTCTATAGGCCTTGGAAGAGGAGAACTGGGTGGAGCCCCATATGTATGTCCAACTGTCATCCACTGTGTCAAGCGCTAAACTTGAGAGTTCAACCTGAAGCTCTTGGATCTGGTTATATGCTTCCATTGATAAAGGTAAGTGAAACAGGTCATGGAGAGTATCAGCATCATGTACTGTGCTTAGGCTTATCCTTTTGTTTTTTGCAAAAGAGTGAAGTTTTGGATATTGTATCCTTTTTACTTGGTTATTCCAGACATCAACCTAGAACAGAAATGTTTTGCCATTAGAAACCAGCACACTTGCCATACCTTTGTATTTATCCAACAGTTTCAGAACATCACGCCACCAGAAAGATCCTCTTGGGGTTGCAGAGTTTGGCAACCTGTCATTCCTGTAGTGTTTATCCCGGATCAGGTTCACCAATGGCCGATCTCTTCTATTAAAGAATTTGTCTAGATGTTTGAGTATAGGATTTGGAGATTAAGCACCCCTGGTCCTCCGTCACATTTTGGTATACAGACCAAAGGCCTGGCAGCCTTTGCCACTTTCCTTGCATTTTCCTCCGCACCTCTCCAAAGACAATATTTCTTGTATTTATCAATATGTTTAATCACTATTTTTGGCCGAGCACTTGAGCACATTGTGTATGTTGGGAGAGCTGTCAGAACTGAATTTGTGAGTTTAAGCCTGCCAGCTTGGTTGAGGAAAGGTGAGACATTATTCAGTCTTTTCTCACACTTACTGGTAAGGGGAAGAAAATCATCTACTTTTGGCCTGCTTAGACCCATGGGCAGACCTAAGTAAGTGAAAGGGAAAGACTCATGGAGGAAGTAATAATTAATGCCGAGGGTTCTTTAAGACCTCTAACTAGTAATGGTAAAATTTCTTTTTAGAAAAGCCCCTAAATTTCCACTACAGAAACTAATAAAAAGTGTGCTCCTAGCGAACGACCAAGTAGACGACAGATGAAGGGTGAACCGGAGCCTCACCAAATGTTTGAATGGCCTGTCACATCAGTCACCCACCTCATTCCACAACATAAATGAGATCAAGCATGACGAGAGAAAAACATTGTTCGTTCGCTGAAAAGTACGATTGAAGTAGTTCAAAAGCGAACAGGGCCAGCTTAAAATGCCAGAACAGCCAGAGACTTTGCAGTTGCAGAACACGAGCAAACATCTGCTTGTGAATTATGAGCAAACATCTTTGCAGGTTCCTTGTTTGTTATGTCTACTTGCTTTGCTCTATGTAAACAAAATGTACATTTAATTTAATTAGTAAAAGAAGTGTATGGGTTACAATTTACAAAGTAACTCGCTGTGTTGTGTTTTAATTTGCTACTAGGCATGAAAATTGAAGAAAGGTTGCGGGTTAAAGTACAGGTAAACTAGACCAGTCTCCTCGCAGAAAAGGTAGATTAGACTAATCTGTCTAAAAAATCTGATCTACATATATCTTTTGTAGTACTGGACTCAGTTGTAACTAATCATCCTTGACTTCAGCGTGGAGGTTGCGTCACTTGGTACGTAACATTATCGGCATGACGAGAGGAGCGACATCATATACATGGGCGTACATACATGAACACTAGTACTAATGTAGTCCTCTGTTTATAGCGAAGCTCCCGGTACGTATGCCCACGTACGCACTTGGTTCCACCCAGTACCTCTTAAATTGGTTCCTCTTGATTCCTTTCTTTTTAATCATCGGATCAGTCCTTGTGAGCCGTCTATTTTATGAGACCTGGCAGTGCCACCTCTATCACCTGTGCCTACTGCTTGGTTAGCAATACTACGTTTCGCTGAAAAAATCAAACTGAAACATTGTTTCGGCTGATTTATTGTAAGAGAAAAACACTGTTCCGACTAAAAAAACAAACCGAAAAGTACGGATTATAAGACAAACGAACAAAACCATCAGACATCATAACTGCTGGTTGGTGAAAACACTTATGTGAGCTCTGGAGACTAGATATATATATGGCCTCTATCCGTCATGATTCTTCACTT